TCCATTTTCCCCATCTTATGGTACGTGGTTTATCTAAGGGGCTCCTTGTGCAGTGGAAAGGACCGTATCGAGTGTTGCGGCAAGTTGGACCACAAGTTTATGAGGTTCGGCATGACATTTAGCAAGCTGATCCTCCGGAGATTATGCATGTGCAGCAGTTGAAATGCTTCATATAAAGGGATCAGGAGCAGTTAATACCATCTACAGATCCGTCGATGCCTCCTCCTGACATTCCTCCAGATCTCGGCCCATCTACAAGAGAACCTTGACGGCCTTCCATTATTCTGAGAGGAGGGGATGATGTGAGGGCTAAGTGTACGGCTACGATGCCGTATACTAATATTAGTGTAGTGGGATTTTGGTAGCCGTTGGATTGGTTTCAATCTGGACCACTCGCTCATGTGTATAAGGTAGGGTTTTTGGGCTAATTGATATGCACATTTTTGTATTCCCTTTCCATATTCCATGCACTCACAACATCTAATATTATGTTGCTACAGAGTTGAAATACTAAATATATATACTTAGATATTTATCTTATTTATTTACATATAGCTTCCTTTTCATGCATGAGTTTCACTTTTGGCTACAAAATATGACCATCTTTTAAAGAAGATAATTATAAATTCTAGGTTTGTTTGTAAATCAATTTGAAAAATAGAATCAATAAGGTTTGTGAATTTGACACTTTAAACTTTATCTCATTGTCAAAATTGTTAATTTTGATCATGATAAATGACTTTTTTATCTCACTTTATATAATGATGATTTATCTTAGGTCTATTTTTTTCATAGTAAAAATAGCCTAAAACTCTTTATCCACATCACCTAGAAATTAGGTTAGATATATTTATATAATACAGAACGCATATAATATCCTTCTATAATTAAGGAGGAGTTGCCAAACTTTTTGGCAATCAATGGGGAGGTAATTATCAAAGGGTTATTTTGTTAATGATGTCTTAGTTAATAATTGTGTTATAGGCAATGGGAAGTTGCTAATTGCTTAGACACATGTATTCAATGTGTTGACAGGCATTGGCACTCAACCTTTTTCACTCCAAGCTCTACTATCAAGTTTCATCCTACAATGGAGACTTGCTATGCCATTTGAGAGTGGTGATTCACACTGCTCCTTCTTCTGTAGGGTTTTAGCACTGGAATGGGAGGAATGGCACTCACTCACACGTGATTTCTCTACATGGAATGCCAAATATTAAACACCAAGTTTGCAGCCCTTTGATGTTCTTAGTGCCATGATTCTTAGCTCCCCAAGCTCTTTATTGCCACTAGCATGCTCCCATGGGATTCCAGGGCATTCTCTGTTGGCATGCAGCAGCATCATGGATGAAGGAGTGCCAAGATCAATGCACTAATATCTATGCTCGAGAAAATTAATGGTGTCAAGTTGATCAAGTTGATAGTGCCTCCCGATGCTTAAGCTCATTGAGGGGCCACTCCAAAAGGCTGGTTTCAAGTTTGAGGTTGGCATGAGTAGCAGCAAGAGGAGTGGCTCACTTATTGTTTTTCTCAGCCTGAAGATCATTGGAGTTCTATGGCATCCACAACATTTTTGTGATGGATCCTTGTAGGTCATGGTTTAAGTGTAATTAAGGTAAATTCCAAGGCCTATGTTTCTTCAAACTCAGTCAGATAATTTGATTTTTCATGTATACAATCCCAAGCTCCAAAAAAAGTGATAATGAAATGTTCTTAGGTCCTAGTGAAAGTCCTAGTCCCAATGCAATACTTCATCTATTCCAAATTAGCCTATTGGCTGCTTTCGCATATACTGAAATCCCATCAACTGGATTTCCTTTGTTTTTTAAACCTTTTTTGTGGCTAAATCTAGACATTTACAGGCACACTTCCAACTAAGTGGCCTGTTGCATTGTAGAAAATAAAAGATTTTATAATGTTTTATTTATGTTTTTGTAATGGGATTTTTTAGCTATATAGACCCTGGCTTCTGGAATCTAATATTGTTTCCTCTAAGAAAACACATGCTTACAATTACTTCCTCAATTCTTATTTAGATCTTGTTAAAGTGGAATATAACAATTATTTGATACTATTCCAACCTAGTTTTCAATATAGGCCATGAAATAATGCTATCATGGTGGAAAATAAAGCCTAAAATTGACCACCTTTAAAATAATATTTTATAAGTAAATTTTTTTTTGTCACATGACAAGCGCACTGGATCAAACCGGATCGAAGTGCAAGCAAGCACAAAAACAAACAAATAACAAAACTAACTTGTTAATTGGGCAGCATATGCATAGCAATTGGTAGTAATTAAAAAAATTGAAGATTTTGTGCATCAAAGAGGCATTAATCTATATAGATATAGCTATAATATTTATGAAGATAAGGTTTAAGTTGGTCTAAAATTAAATTTAACCAGGTTTGGTATAGTTTAAAGTTTTCAAATTAATTAATTAAATTAAACTCACTTTTTTTTTGTATAAAGAGCAGGAGTAAAACATATTTGCTGATACTCATCACACAATTCGATTGAGCTTCACATTTTTTATTTGGTGAACATATTGGTTTGTTAAATTGATTGCCATATAAGATAACAAGTTGCTATAAATAAAGAAGTTCTTTTCCTTAAAAAATTATGTGTAGATTCATTGCCTTGCTGGTCTATATGCTAGAATTATTTTGCCCAGAGGGCTAGACTACAGTTTGCTTGAACGCACTGGGAGTTGCTATTCCTTTCTTGCTTGTGACCGTATGCCAGCTATTGGTCATGGAGGTGAAGCGGTTGGTTTCTCATTTTCCTTTTAGCTTGTGTCCAGCGTTGAGGATCAAATTGTGGTCTCTCTCTTTCAAATTGCTTTACTTTTGTTTCGCATTGTTTCTCTTGAATGCATCCTTGGCATTACCTGCGTTGACAATAGGCCACAAACAAATGGCTGTTGGCTGAAGCGCTTGGGACTTGGATTTCAGACTGGAATGGAGTGATTTGCATTCTTTTCGTGATTTCTTTATCATTTTTGTATTTTCGTCATTTTGCTTTGAACTCAGGTGTATCACCAACATGAGAAACTAGCTTTTCGAAAATGATACTTGCAAAAATCTTCATATTCGATACTTAGTTAGAGATCTTGTTAGCAGAGTAATCAATCTTAGCCGGTATTTCTTATCATTTATACCAGCCTGCCATTAAAAATCTCAAGAGGAAACAAAATCCAGAACACAGTCCCTGAATGAAACATATAAGACTAATTGCCTTGGATCACATGACAAGAGAAATTCACCTGGAAAATCAGCAGCCGGATACACAGTTGCCGCTCAGTGCATCTTCCAAACCATCTCAAGAACAAGTTAACCAGATTCATATCCTTACTGCCGGTTAAAAGCCCCGTTTTCGGCTCAAAGCTACATCACAAAAGGTCTACAAGTTAGCGAAAGACAAAGCTGAGGTCTTTACCTTGGTAATCGATGTCTCGGACATGGCACCCATTTGAAGAGCTGCGAGGCAAGTTACTTAGCACAAAAACCGAAAGATTATATGGCTGACTTACCTGTGGAATGGAGTAAACAAAGTTAATAATCTGTGGTAAGAAAAAAAGCAAAAGAGTCTCGCTAAAATGGCCGAGGATGCCCGCCACAGCCATTGTCATCCCGGCAAAATACGTGTAAGTGTCTCCAACAAAGACAGATGATGGATACCTGCGGAAGAGAGAACTGCAGTCTTAAGACTTAAAGAGATATCAAAATGTTTACCAGTTATAACAAAGCAGCCCAAGCGACGCTCCAACAAGTGGTTGTGTGAGATAAATTGAAAAGGCGTGTGCTTGCTGGTAATCAGCGTCTGAGCTACTCACGATTTGCATCATGTTGTGAATCAAAATCTGTACCCACGTTCTGGTCAAGAGAAAACACAAAGAAAAGAAAACAACTTTGTCGTACCGCAGAAGATATCACAAGAGTTTGCCCAACTTCCAGTCCATTCACGCCGGCGAGAATGTTGACAGCGTTGGTGCAAAACACGGCTAACAGGCCCATGTAAACTTTGTATAGCACGCCTAACAAGTGTAAAAGCTGTTCAAGAACAAATCGGACCAAAAGAAAAGAAGAAAAATCTTACCCAAGTCGAGCACCTCCACTTCGAGGTAGGCTCGAAGAGGTTTCGGAATAACAATTGTCGTGTGCCCCGCGTATGCCATCAGTAGGGGAAGAGCAGCGAACGAAGGAAGTAAAAGTTTCCTGAGAGCAAAAGAAATACTCGATTTTTTTTCGCGAGAAGGAGATCATGAAACTTACACGCGCCATGGGATGTCGAGGACATCGTCCACAAAGCCGAGAAGAATCATAAATAGTATAGATGTGAGAGCCGCATTGTACTCCAGCAGCCACTACGCACAAAAGGAAAAAGAGAGAAAAGATCAGCAAACCATCTCCAAAAACTTAGAAACTTACAGCGGAGTCTGGGCTGAAACAAAAAATCTGGAAGAGGATCGTGACGACGACGAACACGAACCCAGTAACAATCCCGAGCGACTCGGGCCTGCGAGGAGATCCATTTCATTCGCAATAGATTTTTTCTTTTTTCCAAAAACTTACACTTGGATTGATCCAGCCGGAGAGCCTTTCTTGTTGATGTCGTATCCAAACATGTTCCTTTTTAGCACGTAGCGCGCGACGACTGGAACGAGCCGGATTACTGCGAAGAAGGCGCCGACGCTCATACAGAAGCTGATCGCGATCGATCGGCAGAGCTCCGCATCCAGATCGCGCGCGTGACGAGCAAAGAGCGCGATGTAGGCGGCGAGGCATAGCGATCCAAAGATCAATGTTGCTGTGTACCTTGGCGTGGGAGGAGATGCCGCTGGAGCCGCCAATTCCTTGTCATTGGCGGAAGCTGGGAAGCCCCGCCGTCTCCTCACATCCGCCATAGCCACCTAGAACCCTAAATATTTCCCTCGGAGAAAAATCACATTGTCTCACTAATCTCATGGGCGATCGAGCAGGGAAGAACAAAATGTCTGTCAAGGGCGACTAGATTTCGTGGGCGATCGAGCTGGGCAAGCGTTTGCTAGGAGCACAAAGAAAGGAGAGGATGTTTCCACGAGGAGCTTCGCGTGATCACGCTTGGATCGATGCTCCAAGCTCCTATACGAGGAGGCGAGCAAGCACTTCCAATCCAGCGCGTCCGGCACGAATGGCATCGTCGCGATGAGCTCCCATGCCTCGTCCAATCGCCCCAGGCGCCCACAGAGATCTAGCACGCAACAGTAGTGCTGCTTGGTGGGATTTAGGCCGAAATCCATTCGCATCGACACGAAGCTCCTCCTCGCGGCCTCGAGCTTCCCGGCGTGGCTGCAAGCGAGGAGCACCGACACAAAGCAGGATTCGTCGGGAGAGTGCGTGAGATTCATCGTGTTTAAGACGCGAAGCGTTTCGCCGTGGAGCAGGCAGCGCGATTGAGCGTACGCGGCAAGGATCGAGCTCCATGAAACGATATCTTTCTCGTCCATGGCTTCGAAGATCTTCCCACACTTCGCAATTTGCCCTTCTTTGGCATATGCTGCGAGAAAAGTGTTCCAGCTTACTTGATCTTTGATATCCATCTTATCAAACAAAACTTGTACTTCATTCATACATGCGTGATACGAAAAAGATGCGAGCATCGCATTGCATGAGACCACACTCCAAAAAGGAAACTTTGCAAAGATGTTCTTTGATTCCCGCAAATGCCCATTTTGGGCATATGCGAAAAGCATTGATGTCATGGACACGACGTCGTGCTCCGGAATCTTTTCAAACAAACACGTAGAATCTTCGATTTTACCGCATTTTCCATAGCCCACAAGCATTGCGGTAAAGGTGACGGCGTCCCATCTCGCCATCTGATCAAACAAAACCCTCGCTTTTCCGACTTCCCTGCTTTCGGCATATGCTTGAATCATGACATTTGATGCCTCGATTCCCCACACTGACATCTCCAGGAAACACAACTCGGCCTCGGATATTCTACCACATTTTACGTAAGCCCACAGCATGGCCACCCACGACACCATATCACGCTCCTCCATAGCCATAAAAACATCCACGGCGTTTTCCAAATGCCCCGTCTGGGCAAAAGCGACAATTGTAGTCGTCGATGAAACCACATTCTGTTCCGGAATCCTCTGGCATATTTGCAACGCCTCTTCCCTCAAAGAATGGTGAGTGTACGCAACTAGCATGATATTCCACGCCGCAAGATTCCGCTCCGGAATCTCCTCAAAGAGTGACTGCGCTATGGAAATATGCCCGTCCCGGGTATATGCGGAGAGCATAACAGCCCAGGAAATAGCGTCGTGCGCCGGCATCGTATCAAAGAAAGGACGCGCCTGGTTTGATCTGGAGTAACAATTTAGCATCGTGTTCCATGAGATGAGGTCCCTACATGGCATTTGGGCGAAGAGAAGCTCGGCTTGGGCTAAATCTTTCACTTGGGCGAGTGCTACATTGAAATTTCTTAAAGTCATCTTAGGTCAAAGTTGGATTAGTCTTGAGTTCGAATCGAGGTGTTATTTAGGGCTGCTATATTAAAGTCGTGGGCTTTAAGCAAATTATTAGCATCTCTAAGTCGCTTTGGCCGAGTGGTTAAGGCGTGTGCCTGCTAAGTACATGGGTTCTGCCCGCGAGAGTTCGAATCTCTCAGGCGACGAGATTTCTTTTAGGGTTCTTCTGTTGGAAAAACTTTGGAAACAACCGTCGATAGCCTTCCATCTCTTGCTGGAGCTGGAAACTCGAGAGAAAATCGCTGGTGTCGAGAGTGTCGACCAGTCGGGTCACCTGCTCTTCGTGGAGCGCATTGGCGTCTTCCATCTGGAGCTGGAGATCAAGAGTTTGCGAGACAAAAAGAAACTAGCGATCAATCCCTCAAGAACAAGAAAGGACGTACCCGATCGAGCAAAGTCTCCTCGATCAAGTGTTGGTAGTGCAAATTCCTGAGCTTGGACAAATTCTCGGCCTCGCGGCTGTAGGAATCGATGATCCTGGGCAGCGTCTTGGATGAGGACCCGGTGGAGGAGGAGAGGCGATCGATCTCGGCTGTGCCGGCGCGCCGAATCGCCACTGGCCGTGGAACAGCGCCCAGGAGGAAGATGGTTTTGGTGGCGGTCTGGACCGCATTCTCGGCATTCTCTTCGCTCGCCATCTCCACAGCCGCCCATCCCATGGACTGGTGCCCGGGCTGGAGGGGATTGCGAGCCAGCTCCACGCGATTGATGGTGCCCAGCTGCGATAGTCCCTGCCGCACCGCTGCTTTGCCCGTGAATGGCGAGAGGTTCTCCACGATCACGGTGCGGCGGAGAAGATCCTGGCTCCGGGAGGGCGCCGCGACCTGATCTGGTCGCAAGAAGCATCGCTTGAGGTCGTTCTGGCCCTTTCTCGGACGAGAGCGCTTGCAATCTCGGATCTTTCCCTCTCGACGTCGCGGAGGCGCTGTGGCTGGCTCGATCTTTCCTCGTCGCGACGAAAGATGAGCTTCGCGATCGGGATTACGTACCAGCGATTGATCTAGCTCGCGAAGGGAGCGATATTTCGGTGGAGCCGACGCTGGCGAGCGCTTGCGATCTCGAAATCCCTCTGGAATCGGCGCCGGCGGCGCTGCTAGAGAAGCTGTCGATGGATCGACAAGGAAAGACGATTCCCCGGGAACAGGCGGCGGTGGATCAGCGGGAAGAGGAGGAGGCGACTCTTCGCCGGAGAGAGGAAGATCGAGGCAGCCGTTCTCCATAGCCATAAAGAACGAAGCTTGTCGAAATCCCTCTGGAATCGGCGCCGGCGGCGCTGCTAGAGAAGCTGTCGAGGGATAGACAAGGAAAGACGATTCCCCGGGAAGCGGCGGCGGTGGATCAGCGGGAAGAGGAGGAGGCGATTCTTCGCCGGAGAGAGGAAGATCGCCCTCCATAGCCACAAAGAACGAAGCTTGAACGGGGTAGAATATCCCTCCCATGGAGCGTTTGAAAACAAATACGCTATGGGAGGTTTATTCTAGGGTTTTCTCTCTGGATGCTGGCTCGGCCATGGCAGATCGGAAGACCTAGGATCGAATGCTTGGCGAGGGGAATGGCGCAGCAGTCGCGATCGCCGCTGGCATTGGCGGCAGCGAGCCTTGGGGCCGAGGAATGGGATCTCACAACGGAGGAGATGGATTCCATGGAGAGGAATGCCGCGCAGGAGCTGGCTGCCCGGCGCCTGGATTCACCGCTTAAATCGCATCCGGAGCTCCTGGCTCGAGCGGTGGAGGGGAGGACATCGCAGCAAAGCCCCTCTCCCCCCGTCTCGCCTTTCTCGAAGCGGCCTTTGCGTCTCAAGCTCTCCAGAGATGGGCACAACATCGCAGTGGAGGCTCCCTATAACGCGGTTAGTTTTTCCGATCACACCAACGTGAGAATGGGAAGAACATCACAACTTTTTCGTGTTAATGCAGAGCCTCATAGCGGCCTATAAATCTGTTGCTGGCCATGAATGGGATCGCGGTCGAAGGCAAGCTTTTGCTTTCCATGTTTCATAATTTTTCTCTCGAGTGTTGGTAGGCTTTGGTTGTTTCCCGAGCACAATGTCCAAGAACTTCTGAGGGCTGTGACTGGCACTCCCGACCTTGTGCTCGACGTATAACTTTCTTCTCCTTCTTTTAACGAACATTAACTTTTCCTTCTTTCTCTTTTGTAGGTACAAGCAGTTCCTCCTCTCAAGCTACCTCATCTTAATTATGGCTGGAATCCGCCTTCGTGCTCGGGTACATATCAAATGCCTTTACGTTGTCGTATTAATCTCGTCAATCTAGGACACGGATCTTCTCCGTTATGTACTCCGACAAAGTCTCAGGATAGCCGAAGTGGCATGGCTGAAAACGCTGGTTCTCCTCTCAAAGAGCTAGTGGTACAGATTTTCTTGATAGATGACAACCGTATCGCGGCTCGAAGTCCCTATAATCAGGTCCTATTCGAAGAACTTTAAGAAGTTTGACTGGCTCTTGATTTTTTTTACCAGAATGTTAAGCAAGCTTGCCAGTCTGTTACTGGAAAGCTTTGGAATAACGAAGAAAGGTAAGAATTGTCCTAAGAGCTGTTGAATTTTTGAACTGTTTGTTGTCTCTTTCAGAGTATGGACTTACCCGAGATCTAGCTTGATTGATCTGGTGCGTGCGCTGCGGAGTGTCTCGTGTCCACGGGTTAACGTATGAGTTATTGCTTGCTTGATATTAGCTGACATCATCCGTAACAGGTCGAAGTTACGCCTCCGTTAATTCTTCCTCCTGATCAGAGCTTTGGTGAGCCTTTAATTTTCTTTTCCTTTCTTTCTTGGTTTTTACGGGCGCAACCACAGGTTCAGTTTCTCCTTGCAATTGGAATAGAGGTGAGAGCGAAGTTTACTCTTTTGCTGCCCCCGAGAAACTGCCGCCTACATCTGATAACTTATCTAAGCAATTTGTGAAGTTGTTTCTTCATAGCACTGGCCTTATTGCTGTCAAATGCGAACCATCTCAGGTACAGCTTTTTATCAGACATATTCTGTGATGTTTTCCATCCATTTACAGAAACTGATATCGGTTTTGAAGTCCATCTCAAAAGCATTTTGGAACTACAGAGAACGGTGGGATGAACGTATTCATATTTTCTTATTGTTATTTATGCTTTCAGGCTGTGGATGTTTCCCCCTTGTTCTTTGTCCGAAGCAGAAAAAGCTTTTGCAGAAGTACCTTGTGAAGTAAGGTCGAATACAATTGGGATATATTACTAACTTGTTTTTACAGATAGAAGCTTTTGGACCATTAGTGCGGCGTGCTTTAGATTTTCAGCGAGATGTTTCTGATCTTATTGGTAAACGCTTCAGAGATGTTCTGAAACTGATGGTTTTTCTATGTCTTACAGGTTATTATAAGAACATTCCTGGCCACCTAGAATCAAGCCTTATGCCCTTTCAGCAGGAGGGAGTGCAGTTCGCGTTGCACCATGGCGGACGAGCTTTGATTGCGGACGAAATGGGGCTTGGGAAAAGTGTTCAGGTATGTATGTAAACAACGGTAACAGCTTTTGAACGACATTTTTGTGCAGGCAATAGCTGTAGTGTCTTGCTTGAGGGACTACTGGCCGGTTTTGGTGATTGTTCCGTCGTCATTGCGGATACACTGGGCTACTGTTAAGTTTTCTTAATGTTACAAGAAAGTTTTGTCTTTCTTACCCCTTTTTATTTTCTTTTTCTTGTTATGTTTCTTTTTGCTGCAGATGCTTAAAACGTGGCTGGAAATTCGTTCTTGCGACATAACGGTATGTTTTTTTTTCAATCGTTCTATCCGTAGACGGTTTCATATTTCATGCGAGATAGATCGTTTTGAGTCAAGGGACCGGATCAAGTCAGGGATACACTATCGCGCACTCTCAAGGGAAAAAAGTGCTGCAGCTGGGTGGATTATTTAATATCATTTCGTATGACATGGTGTCAAAATTGCCTGTGGATAACTTCAAGGTGGGATGAATATGCATTATTATCATTTTCTTTTTCCCTCCTAGGTTGTTATTGCAGACGAGTCTCACTACATAAAAAACGCTCAAGCCAAGCGTACCAACGCCTGTGTTCCTATTATCCAAGTACGTAAGTTTCTCATCTTCTTTCGCTGAGAGTATCGCTTGCCAGAAAGCGAAGTATGCAGTGCTTTTGACAGGCACTCCTGCTCTGTCTAGGCCAGTCGAGCTATTTAAGCAGGTTTGACATCACATAGTTTTACGTCATGAAAATTCAGGAGTGCAAACTAACAGCTAGAGGCGCTTCAACCAAGTGTTTATAGTGACTTTCACGAGTACGGGCAGCGATACTGCAGCGGGGTAATGAGGCATTGTTTTCTGCTCATAGCATTCACTATTCTGTCTTTCAGAGTCATTTTGGCATATATCAAGGGGCAAGCAATCGTGAAGAGCTTCATGCGCTGCTCAAGAGTACCGTTATGATACGGAGGCTTAAGAATGATGTTCTTTCTGAACTTCCTGAAAAATGTCGCGAGCAGGTAAGTTTATTAATTTGATTAGCTTGTGTTCTTGAAAGCCTTGCAGGTTTTTCTGTCCTTGGACATGAAAAGCACTAGACAACTTCGTGCTCTCATTAACGAGGTACGTTTTGTTTTTCTTCTTCTTCTTTACGTTGTTGACAATGTATGTCATTTTCCTTTTTCTTCTTTTTGTTTTTCTTTTGTTGCAGCTGAAAAGTATCCGGGAAAAAATGCAAAATTCGACGGAAAGCGAGACTGAGAAATTGAAGAGGGAGGAGAAGGTTCTAATCACTAAGGTAAGCGGAGGGAGATTCTAAAGTTCTAAGTCTTACGTTTATCTATTCTAAAGTTATAAGTCTTACGTTTATCTATCTGCTAGATATATGCGGAATCAGCTGTTGTAAAGGTTCCAGCTGTTCAAGATTACTTATCCACGATGCTCGAGGTACCTGCAAGCTTTCCCAAGTTGAGGCTATTGACATGTTTGTTTTC